CTTTCCGTTTGGTGTGGTTCCTGTGTCTGTCTGTCTGTCTCTCCCTTAAAATTCTTCCATCGACACTCCCTCCTTTCTCTCCCTACCCTCCCTCCCAAGAGATAGGGTTACGCACGAAAGAGTGGCACGCCAGCTCGGTCATGTTGGGTGCTCTTCCCTTGTAGCCCCTTCCCCTGCCTCCCTCCTTATATATCCTCCTTTCCCTCCCTCCCTCCACCACACAAACATGCTCCTCCCTCACTGCCACGCCCACCACCTCCACTGATTAGTCCACATACTGATGCTGCCCTCTCACACTCTCTTTCATTACGTTCATTCCTCCTCCCTTTTCTCTCTCCTCTCTCCATTACGTTCATTCCTCCCTCCCTTTCTCCCTCCTCTCTCTCCATTACGTCTATTCCTCCTCCCTTTTCTCCCTCCTCTCTCCATTACGTTCATTCCTCCTCCCTTTTCTCCCTCCTCCTTCATTACGTTCATTCCTCCTCCCTTTTCTCCCCTTTCAAAATCCGCTGCTGAGCATAATGTCACACACAGGCACCACAGTGAGCATAATGTGAAGATATTTGGCAGAGTGAGCATGAGCTTTATGTGGAGTTGCGAGCATAATTTTCGTCGATGAAGCATATGTGAGCATTGTGTTTAACAGGTGTGGTTGGGCCTTATAATGAGCTTAATATTAGTACTGGAACCTTACGGAGCATAATATTGACGTGTTGGGTGGAGCATACGTGAGCATTGTCTCCTACGTGTCACAGGGCCGCGTACGTGACCAAGGGAGTGCCAACGATGATGAATGTCACTATGGTAGGGATGTTAAGTGCCACCGAGGGCCATGGTGCCAAGTTGGGGGGGGGGAGTGAGGTGTATGACCCAAGACCTTCATTCTTAAGATAGCTGACACACACACACACACACACACTTTAAAGTCTATTTGAGTGTATTCTAGGTTAGGTTAGGTCAGGTCAGGTCAGGTTATGATTAGCTTAAATTACATTAGGTTTGATTGGGTTGTTATGGTTAGGTTAGGTTAGATTTTTTACAGTACTCATTAAAATGCACTAAGCCAGGTGTTGTCAGGATCGCCCACGGGATAACGTCTGACAGCTGACAGTGATGACGTCATGTAGTGCCACAAGACATATGACGCGTGCCAACTGAAGTGTAGTCATCTGAGGTATCACGTGAAGGGGGGCAGGTGGTAGGGACAAGGTGGAGGCGAGAGTTAGTGTGGTGGTCGTGGTGGTACTGTGAGGCTGTCGAGTGTGTCATAGTTAAGTACCTGTCTGGTCAGTTAAATAAAGGTGAGAGATTGTGGTTGTGGTGGTACTGCGGTTGTGGTGATGCTGTGGTTGTGGTACTAGAGTTGTGGTTGTGGTGTTAGTACTGTGGTTGTGGTGGTGGTACTGTGGTTGTGGGATTGTGAAGGTAATGCTTGATCAATTTCAAGTAAGAGTGAGGTGTTCCTTGACATTGTTATCGTGTTTCCTGCCCAGGTAAGCGAGGGGCTGGTATACCTGTTCAGAGAGAGAGAGAGAGAGAGAGAGAGAGACCTACCTTTTTGTGTGTGTGTTGTGGTTGTCTCTTATCTCGCCCTTCTTTGTGTCTCTTACTGTCGTGTGAACGTTTCTCTGTGACCAACGTTTCCTGTTTGTGTGTGTGGGGGGGGGTCTGTCTGTTGTGAACGTTTATTGTTGTGTTTAGGTTCCTGTTTTAAATGTTTCCTCTCTTAAACGTTTGCTATTTTGTGAACGTTTTCTTGTTTTGGGAGTGTTTATAGTTTTTGTTGTTGTTGTGAACATATCCACCTTCCAAACAAGGATGATGACGATGTTGTTCATACTGACGACGCATATGTGTGTATTGATATGTACTGTATATGTGTATTTTAATCTGTACGTCAATATATATATATATATATATATATATATATATATATATATATATATATATATATATATATATAGTAATGTAAATATGGTATTTTTTCATTAACAAATTGCTTTAATTGACCCCGATATATGAGCCAATTACTGTAATTATTTTTTTGTTATAGATTTACAGATTATTTTTGTGTAAATTGATTGGAAAAGACGATTACTTAGTTGGACTGGGATAGTTTTGAAAGCAGGTAACACGAATCGAATTAAAATAAAAGTTGGACTGGATTAGAACAAGGGACTGTCAGACAATGGGCTGAGGAGTTGAGAATAAATGTCTCTTTGGCAACTTTGCTCATGACGTCACGGGTTTCATTGTTTACGTTTGGGCAATCAGTTGATGTGCTTGTGGGGGCGGGGGTAGAAGACTGGCGGAACAATCACTGTGTAGGTCACTGTGTGTGTGTGTTTGTTTGTGTGTGTGTGTGTGTCAGAACTACCTGGCTCGTATTGATTTGATTGTTTACCTGTTGTATAGGCGACTGCTGTACTGCCTGACCTTACCATTCTCTCTCTCTCTCTCTCTCTCTCTCACAGTTATTTTACTTCTCACTTTTAAAGATTGGTTTTATTGAAGGCCGCCGCGTTGGTTGCATCATATCGTGGCGGTGATAAGGTAGAAGAATGTTATGCTCACCTCCTCGTAGTCTGTCTGTCACTCGCGAACGATCTGGGGCTGATGGCTGAGATTATCTACATATGACTTACCAAAACGAAGCAGCATCGACCCCAAATGAGATGAAACAGCCAGGTTAGCTTAGTTTAGGCTAGGTTATGTTACGTTATGTTATCTTATGTTGCGTTATGTTATCTTGTGTTGCGTTACGTTATCTTAGGTTAGGTTACGTTAGCGGCAAGATGATGACAATACAATACAAACGGGAGGGGGGACTATCAAGAAGCCATTGTTGTTGTAGAGGCTAATAATCAGTATAAGTACAATAAGCCACAAGACCTGGTTTATATGTTACAGGTTAAGGACTCTGGGTGTCTTATTGAACCCTCAGCACACGTCGACACTTTCTCCCGTCTCTTGAAGGTCCTGTGATAACCTGCCCCCGGGTGACACATGCTCTTAGTGTTTCTACTGATGGAGGAGAGGGTTGTGATTATGGAGAGGGGTTGGGGTGGAGAGGGGGTTGGGGGGTGGAGAGGGGGTTGGGGGTGGAGGAGGAGAGTTGGGTGATGGAGAGAGAGGGTTTGGGGGTGGAGGAGGAAGGTTGGGTGATGGAGAGAGGGGGGAGGGGATTTGTTGGTGGAGGGAAGGTTGAGTGATGGAGACAGGGAGTTGATTGGTCGAAGGAGGGAAGGAGGGCGTGGCACTTAGAGACTAATCTTCAAGTAATCCACACACACACACACCATCATCATCATCATCATCATCATCCATATTACATGCAGATCTGTGGACCGTGGTATTATCAGTAACATTGTGTAAAGACTCTAACGTGACCATACTTGTGATAACATTGAGACGATTTGGTCACTTTAACCACAATGACTAAGAGAAGACAGTTTCAACACTTGGTTCAGTACACAGCTGCCTTAGGTTATAGAACTGTTTTGGTGGTGGCTGTGTTTGGTAGTAGTAGTGGTAGTAGTAGTAAATTAGTAGTAGTGGTAGTAGTAGTAAATTAGTAGTAGTAGTATTGTTAAGGCTAGATGTGGTTGAGTTACAGTAGGTGTAGACAGACGTGCTTGTCAGGGATGGTTTGGTGTGGGGGGGGGGGAGGGTTGTTGTTAGGTCCTGGTAGTTATAGTTGTGACGTGATTAAATAAAGTTATAGTTGTATCCGGTGTTAATTATGATGGTTATAATGAATTCCCAGCTACATACAGGTGTTTAAAGGTATCATAATAATAATACTTAACCTGTGGAACCTATGTAATTAAGGTCAGCACACATACTCACATTCCTCGACCTGAATAAGAGGTGATTGTCGAGCCCTGAGAGTTTTACCAAGTGTGGCTCAAGGCACTTTATGGCTACAGCTCTTATTGTCTCACCTGGATCATGCTCAAACAGGTGTAAAAAGAAAAGGAAATTAATTAATGGTTGGTATACCTGAAGATAAACCGCCCCCTCCGTCCCAACCCCTAGTTTGATTTCACCTGGTTTAACCCTTTGAGTCCAGGGGGGTTATATTGTCGTCCTCAAAGGGTTAAATCATAGTCCTCAAAGGGTTAAATTATATTACTTAAAGGGTTAAATTATACTACTCAAAGGGTTAAATCATCGTCATCAAAGGGTTAAATTATACTACTCAAAGGGTTAAATCATCGTCATCAAAGGGTTAAATATCCTAACACTACCTGGGTTTGGGGTTAGGTTTAGGTATATTATGTTAGATTAGGTTATATTATGGTAGATTATGCTAGGTTAGGTTAGGTTATATTATGGTAGATTATGCTAGGTTAGGTTAGGTTATATTATGGTAGATTATGCTAGGTTAGGTTATATTGGGTTAGGTATAGAATATAATAGGATAGATTAGGTGAGTTACAGTAGGTATAGATTTTATTTATTTTTACGTGTTTAGAAAAAATATATATATGAAGGTTTAAAATGAACGAGAGAAATGATCAATGTTTATCAATGAACGACCAATGTTTATGTTTACCCCTTATGATATATGTAATGTTTATACTGTGTTTATGGTGAGTGGTTCAGGTTTATATATTCTAGTGTAATGTTTATATCTTATGTTTGTGGTGACTGATAGATGTTTACTTGTTTATGGTGACTGATAGATGTTTACTTGTTTATGGTGACTGATAGATGTTTACTTGTTTATGGTGACTGTAAACATCTGATAGATGTTTACTTGTTTATGGTGACTGATAGATGTTTACTTGTTTATGGTGACTGATAGATGTTTACTTGTTTATGGTGACTGATAAATGTTTACTTGTTTATGGTGACTGATAGATGTTTACTTGTTTATGGTGACTGATAAATGTTTACTTGTTTATGGTGACTGATAAATGTTTACCTGTTGACATCTTCTTGTATAATGTTTATATCTTATGTTTATGGTGACTGACAGATGTTTACTCGGACAGGGGCGGCAGTGGTGGTGTGATGGACTTCCATGTCTCTGTACCGGGCCCGTTCACGTACCTGGTGCACGAACACGCCCGCTCCATCCTTGCTATACAGGTACGTACACGTGCACATTTCTGTTCCTCCCCTTATGTGCACGGTCGTTCAATCATCGTCATATACAGGTAAACGTGCACATTTATACCCTATTCTCACCCTTATACAGTCAGGTCAACACCCTTATAATCTCCAGTTATAGGTTGGAGTGTTCCTCACCTTTGTACAGGTAAGGAAGATTCACCTCTATACAGGTAACTACAGTGTCGCCCATGAATTTTGGTCTCTGTTGACCCTGTGTTGTTCTGCTGGGGAAATGGATTGGAAATAATTGATAAACTTTGGACGTATTCGTAAAATTTAATAAACTTTTGGACGTATTCATAAATTTGAATAAACTTTTGGACGTATTCATAAATTTTAATAAACTTTTGGATGTATTCATAAATTTTAATAAACTTTTGGACGTATTCATAAATTTTAATAAACTTTTGGACGTATTCATAAATTTTAATAAACTTTAGGATGTATTCATAAATTTTAATAAACTTTTGGACGTATTCATAAATTTTAGCAAACACTGAAAGAATAGATACGTACTATAGGCAACTGAGGGTGTGTGTATTGGTGGGGGAGACGGGAAGAGACGGGAGGGGAGAGAGACGGGAGGGGAGAGAGAGACAGAAGGTGTTCATGTATCACACAACCTTCAACTCTGTGAAATGTTTGAAGAGAAAATATTACCTGGGGCATTATGTTGTTGTAGTAATATTGTTAAGTGAAATGAGAACGATGGGTGTGTGTTGTTAATGTAGTTAAGTGATTTAGTAGAACTTTATATCATACTTCTGCTACTAATAATAAATGCAAGAGTAATGATGACAGTAATAATTAGTTTTATTATATTTACAGGACATTATAAACCGTAACACACAACAAGAGGTACTACCATAACCAGCATTTAACACACATTGCTACGTAAGGGTTTCGTTCTCACCCTTGTACACCGAGTGATTCCTTGCTGTGGGGGGAAGCTGAGCATATGAATAGGTATTAACATAAGGCATTATAGTATAGGGTTCGTATGAGAGAGAGAGAGAGAGAGAGAGAGAGAGAGAGAGAGAGAGAGAGTCGGAAGCTCCCACGGGTTCTTGAGAACTTTGTCTTAAAACTTTTGAGAGTTTTCCTGTAAAATTTGTGGTTAAGGGGGGAGGGGAGAGGAGGACAGGGTTTAGGAGTACAGGAGGAGGCGAAGGGTACAGGGGTAAGAATGAGGAGGGGAAGGAAGAGGGATGGCGGTCCGTGGGGGAGGGGTGTCCGTGGGAAAGAGAGGAAGGGGGAGTGGTTAGTTTCCAGTAGTCGTGTTGTTGCGGTTAAGACGAAGGTTTGTCACACACACACACAGCCGCGGCCCATCGTTTTTAAGAAACACCATATTAACCCATCAATTCAGTAGCCCTCTAAGTACACAAGAATACTCGAGATAAATTATAGTAGTAGTATTATTAAACTCCTAAGTGAGTTTATTGTTTTAGTTTTAAGTGATTATTACAGTTGTGTGGGGTTTTAGAGGAAAGTTGTAATGTAATTAAAGGATGAAACTATTTTATTTGTATATTTTTGTTGTTTGGCGCCAACCTTTAAACTGTCGTGCTTATAGAAACGGAAATATATTTGTTTTTGGCACGAACTCATAAACGACTCTCATGCGAGTTTTTATAATGGCGCCAATTTTTTTTTAAGGATTCTAAAAGCGGTAACTCAGTTTTTGGCGCCAACTTTAAGACTTAAAAAGCCTTGACATAGTTTCTGGCGTCACGTATAAAATTACAAATTTTAAGAGACATACGAATTTACGGTGTATGAATTCTGACACTAAAAGTTGGAAGTGATTTACGGAGGAATCAAAATAAAAAGAAAAATGACTGGACAACGTGTAGTAATGAGTTAGTTTTTGGCGCCAACATTTTAACCTCCAAGTTGTTGACCGTTAGAAGCGGAAGGGGGGGGGGGTCTTCGTGGGTCTTTAAGCCACACACACTATGACTGAGGCCGATTTTAAGAGGTCCTTTACACGGCCTCTGCTGAGTCAGGGAGAGGGGGGTCTTGTTTCTCGGTCTTTGTGTGTGTTTTTCTTTGTGTGCAAACGTGTGTGTGTGTGTGGGGAGGCAGGTGGACGTGAGGCGTTGTTTGTGTGGGTGTGATGGTCCGTCAGTGTAAGCGAATAAATAGTTTTTGTGTGTGTACGTTAGGAGGCTTGCACGTGTGTGTGTGTGTGTGTAGAATTAGCATACACATACATACACAGTTTTTAGGATATGTGTGATGAAGTAATATACATAAGTAGAAAAAAATGTGTAAATCAAGACGACGTGAGAACCAACGTTGGAATTCTCTTCATTTTTTGGCCGTGCGGGAGTTGCGAGTGGCCAGTCATAATATAAGAACCAGCATAGTCGTAACGGTATGTATTTTGTCTCATCTCAGCGCCTCATTACTAAGCGTATAAGCGTCACCGGTCGCCTGTAGACAAGTGGATACCGTGACGGCCTCAGAAGAGAATAAAAAACGTAAAAATAAAAGAAGGATGAGATAGAAAAGAGGGAAGGAGCATCAAGCCGGAACAGAGTTGAAGTGATGGCGAGGCGTTCAGTTTCCTCCACTTGTGATTCCTGACCAATAGGCGAACGGCTGGGGGGACGATGCTCTCTTCTTATGTAACGGGGAACTTATTTTTTGAGGGGGGTGGAGGGGGTAATTTTAGGGTACTTAGTGTTTTTGTATTCGTGTGGAAGTACAGTTAAAGACTCACGGTAAAGAAATAACAATAGGATAGGAAACATCTTGGTGTGCATGTTTAGTATATTCCCTTATTACGTTGGAATGTCTTAGTATTGTGCAGTAGTCTGTTTTTATTATTTTTATTACTGTATTACTATTAGTGTTATTTTTGTTTTTTTTACGAATATTATTGGTATTATTATTCTTTTTATTGGTACATTATTCAAGTATTCATCATCGCTTTCCCTTAACCTTCCCAGGCGTATGAGATCTTGATGTCATGTTTTGGTAATTCAATGCCACAGCGTTCTTGATGTAATAAAAAAAATCAATTGACACTAACCCCATTATTATTATTAATCTTTTTTACTTCAGTTAAGATTGTATTCCAGTCTCATTCTGCCTTTGCTTTGGTGTTTTCTGTTACGTATTGAAGATAACATACCTGTATTTGAGCTGTAATGAAGATAACATGTGGTTTTAGTTATCCAAGTTGTGTAATTTTTAAGTAATTCAGGATATTTCTGTTTTCAGCCTGTGTTGGGGTTTATTTTTTAACATGTTTGGGTTAACTTAACACGTGTTGGATAAAATATAAACATTACAAAATCGAGATAAAACTGAACGTTGTGTTATCTTTACGGTCTGGATAACGTATTTGTAAGAATGGTGGTGGTGAGTTGGCAGGTCGTCTGGGGGGAGACCTCGTAGAACAGTTACAGCGTATATATTATTTCGTAATATATAACACCGACACACTATATAAGAAATATACTTGAAAAGACAACTGTATAATTTATGGTTACTTGAATTATTAAAAACAGTCACTTGGATAAAAAAAATATTACTTAGGTAATTAACGAAGTTATTTAGGTGAAAAGGGGTAATTATAGTTACTGAACGATACTAATTAGTTTACCTGGACGATTAGAAAACAAAAAAATAACGAGTTGAATGTTTATTATTATTATTCTTATTATTATTATTATTGTTATTTTTATTATTTCCAGCTATTTCCCCCTTCCTCCCTAGGCTCTACACCTTACCCACATTATACATCGCTCACAGCTACATAACTGTATACTAACCGCCCTTACACTCCCCAGTTCTCGCGTTTTAATATTTCGTGAAGAATGTGTGAGGTGCGCTACTAGGCGGCGTTGGAATTTCCCGTCCCAGAAAATATTTAGAATTATTGAGAGCTGGGAATCTCTTAAGTTTGATATTGTGAAGGTATATGAACATTAAAGGAGAGATAATAAGTGTTTAAACGATAACTAAACGATTTATACCAATGTTAAGTTTACGGTAGAGTCTTGTCACGTTCCACCCAGAGCCCCGCCTGCCTCCCCCATCATGCTGACCAATCAACAGGAAGCTCTTGTTACAACTTGAACCACCAGAGAAGAAGCATGACATGACCTTCACTTAACTTACTGCGTTTCAGAGGGAGGGAAGGGGGGGGGGGTGAGATAGATAGATGTTTATACAGCCATACTGGTCTGCTTTAAAGGGAGGGAAGAAGTGATAGGTGGATGGTTATGTACTCTGCCATACAGGTTAACATTGGCTCATCATGTAGATAGAGTGGATAGGTGTTATAATACACATTGGATCATGTAGATATATTGGAGGAGGATTCGCCCAGGTAGGAGACTGGGGGGGGGGGGCGCAGGGGGTAATATGCAAATGACCAGGTGTTGAGGATTTTGTATATGTAATCTTGTGTTGGCTTCCGCTGTCATGTACAGTACACAGTCGAAAAAGTGTTTTTAATCTTGCTTTTAACATCATGACGCAACGACTTTAGGGTTTTAACAATCCTACCGAGACACTTGGTGGTGGTAAGACGAGACGCTCTCCACCAATCACCGAGCTCGTTTGTCTAACTGATGATTAATGACGAAATAGCTCCACCAATCAACACGCTTGATGCCCTCAGTGTCCTACCAATTAAGGAGCACCTGACGATTATCCCCCCCCCCCCATTTAATCAGTAGGTGATATAAGGTGAGGGTGGCCAATCTTCAGGTGATCGCCAGTTAGACGTAGATACGTGTCTAGATGATTGGTCAACAGACAAGGCTTGACCAACAGAGCGTCCGTGTGTGTCCTAAAGCTATGTAGAGCAGAGTGTGTTGGACTATAGACACACCCCGGCCAGAGCCTCCCCCAGTTTACTGTTTTTTATGACTGGGTTGGGTCCTCAGTGTTCCTCCAGGTCACGGTGTAGCGTCAGGCATGATGAGTTCGGTTGACTAAACTCCCCTCAGCGGCGG